GCAGCTCCCGGGCGTGCGGGTGTTCGAGCTGTCGCCGGGCCGCTCGCTGCGGGGCGGCCCGCGCGCCACGCGCCGCGCCGTGTCCCAGCTCATCCGCCTGGGCCAGTCCACCAAGGCGTGCGAGCTCTTCCTGCGGAACCGCGCGGGCGCCGTGCGCACGGCCATCCGGCAGCTGCGCATCGAGGGCGCCACGCTGCTCTACATCCACAAGCTCTGCCACGTCTTCTTCACCAGCCTCCTGGAGACGGCCCGCGAGTTCGAGACGGACTTCGCCGGCAACAGCGGCTGCTACTCGGCCTTCGTGGTGTGGGCCCGCGCCTCCATGCGCATGTTCGTGGACGCCTTCAGCAAGCAGGTCTTCGACAGCAAGGAGAGCTTGTCGACTGCAGCCGAGTGTGTGAAGGTAAGAGCGAAAGCGACGTGGCGGGATGCGGTGGGTAAGGGAAGGATGCAGAGATTTTGCAGCCCCTCCAATTTCTAACCCTGAGTCGGACTTTGAGCGCAGTACTTGAAAAAGTTTCCTGCACTGAAGTTAAATGTCGTTTGTTTTTGTTTTTTTTTTCCCCAATTTAACAACGAAAGCATTCAGATTAAGTTCAGATCAGACAAAAATGTGCCCTTATCAGATATGCAAAATGTGTTCAATCTTAATTTGCCTTTAAATGGTAGAAGATTCGTAAATTTATGTAAGGTTTATCAGAGCAATGAGTTTTGTGAACACTTTCATTTGTTTCCCAAGCCTTCAGTGGACTATTATTTCCATTTTTTTTTAAAGTACTTTTTAAAAAGTCCTTAATTTTTCAGAGTATGGTATTTCTTGGCTGTTAATAGGAGAAAAAAAAAGGGGTTCTAGTGTAGTCTGTAGTATTCTTGACAGCAAGGTTTATCTTTCAGTTACCACATTATCATTAAAAGAGTTTTTTTAAGGTAGGAGAGATCTGTAAAGTGTAATTAATACTTCTCGTTTTTAACAATGATAAATGTGATGAACTTCTAAAATGTAAAGGGGCACTGCAAACCGATAACACGCTTCACTTCTTGTTACGACTCAAGGTAGCTAAAGAGCACTGCGAGCAGCTCAGCGAGATCGGGCTGGATCTCACCTTCATCATTCATGCCCTTCTGGTGAAGGACATCAAAGGTGCTTTGCAGAGCTATAAGGACATCATCATTGAGGCCACCAAGCATCGCAACTCTGAGGAGATGTGGAGGAGGATGAACCTGATGACTCCAGAGGCCCTGGGAAAACTGCGAGAGGAGATGAGAGGCTGCGGGGTAGGCAATTTTGACCAGTACACTGGGGATGACTGCTGGGTCAACCTTAGCTATACGGTGGTAGCTTTCACTAAGCAGACTATGGCCTTCCTGGAGGAAGCGTTGAAGCTTTACTTTCCAGAGCTGCACATGGTTCTTCTGGAGAGCCTTGTGGAAATCATCCTTGTAGCTGTCCAGCACGTTGACTACAGTTTACGATGCGAACAGGACCCTGAGAAGAAAGCATTCATTAGGCAGAATGCATCCTTCCTTTATGAAACTGTCCTTCCTGTGGTGGAAAAAAGATTTGAGGAAGGAGTTGGAAAGCCAGCCAAGCAGCTACAAGATCTGAGAAATGCTTCAAGACTGATGCGTGTAAATCCAGAAAGTACCACCTCTGTAGTGTAAAGTGAACTACCTGTTCTCGTGGACGGAGTGAACGCACTTGCAGAAAATGCTGTACATTAAAAATATGGACTGAGTGTTTTCTGAGTCCCCAAAAAACACTGAAGTCTTAACTGCAACCTTCCGGAAGCCGAGTACTTACAGTCAGTCTGCAGTGATGAAAACTCTTTTTTGGATTGAAGTCACATGCACTTGCACTTGAATAACCTGTCCTTCAAGAAAGGCTCGTGTAGTATTTGTGACTTGGGAAATTACATAATATACAACATTTGGCCAAATAAAATGTTTGTGAAACTCTTAAATATATGAACAGTATTACACTTCTAATCATGTCATTGTATGAATTCTTGTTCAAGGCAGTGTTCTTGCAGAAGGGGAAGTGCTGAAACTCTCCCAGGGTGTGGTATTCGGTGAGGCCTGTCCACCTTCCAGATGTGACTCAGCGCTGCGGATAAGCAACATGGATTTGCACAGTCTGATTTGCTCGGTAGTAATGCAGGCTCTTTAGTTTCTCTGACATACAAAACTCTGCTCACTTCAAAGACAGATCTAAATTTAAAGTCTTGAGTAAGTGCTTCTGTTTGGATGAAGAGGCTTCTTGTTCTCTTTAACAAGCAGAACTATGGCTTTAAGTTGCACCTCTCTGAAGACACAATTTTACTGTGTTCAGAGGAGCGAGGAGTTTTTTTTCCCCCTTCTCCTTTGCATTCCACTTCCTTGTTTTCTCATGGAATTCATTGGGATCAAGTCCATTAGGTGTAGTATGCTCTCTTGCTCAAGGCACTGTCAGAAATGCATTAGGGGCCATTACCTGCTAGTTAAGAGGCATAAATGCTCCTGGGAAGTGGAAGGCAGGGAGAGGGTTTCAATCAAGGTATCCCTTTGTCTGGAAAAAAAGACAGCATTCTAGTTGTGCTGCACAGAAGAGGCACAGGAGAAAGAGTCTGAAAGCAGTGCTTCTCAGAGGTGACACATTCTT